GTGATATTTATCACTTTCCCTGTGATGAGTCTGGGTTCCTTTGTGTGTCTCTTTGTCGAACTCGTGTCTTTACCTGGGATATTTTGGAGGTGTGGTGGACCCTGTGGGGCCCCTGTGTATGTGCCTGGTGGGCCTTTTGGTGATTCATTCATGCCACAGTTTAGAAGCACTTCTTTCAGGAAGTATAAAAAGTGAATCTGGCTCCACGAGAGAAACGAAGAAAAGATGTTTTCCAGCGCTGAGTCTGAGGCACGGCGTGCTGAGGGAAACACTGAGGCTGCAGGAAAGTGACATGTGTCAGGTCCTGGACTTGTAATGGGAGAAACTACACGGCTTTGTACTCAGGGACCTCGAACAGGACAGGTCAGGAGCAATGACATGAGTGGGTGGCAGACAGAAATGAAAAGGAGAGCGAGGGGAGTCGTGCGGAAAACAATGGTTCAGTCGAATCACTTCCCCCCTCACAGCTGTGAGCAGCACACCTACCGGCTTCCTGTCTGATAAAACATCTGATCTGTGGACTGTAACGGGAGAGGACTTATCATGAAATAAGATGTAGAGACAGCAGAAAACAGGAGCGATAGGAATCGCTTCAGCGAGAAAGAGGGGAAAAAGGAGGCGAGGGTGAAAGTGAGGGCAGGGGAAGTGATGGAATCCCGTGAAGCCAAGGCGGCGAGCAGAGACGGCGAGCTCTGGCTCAGGTGATTTTTCTCAGAGTAAAGCTGCAGACCTCTGACCCTCTTCATGCCTGGAAAGGATTTCATTTTTATCCTGGTGCTTTATTTCAGTCAGGGGGGAGGAGTCAGAAGCAGAGCCCACTGCCGCTCTGCCAGAGTGCTTTTGGGCAAGGCATCAAAATCCTCATTTAGAACACATATGAATGTGCTTTGAATAAAGAGCGTCACTCATGAGGTGCTGGGAGAACTCACCAGGTGCAGCAGGTGCAGCAAGAGCAACAGGTGCAGCAGGAGCAGCAGGTGCAGCAGGTGCAACACGAGCAACAGGTGCAGCAGGTGCAACAGGAGCAACAGCTGCAGCAGGAGCAGCAGGTGCAGCAGGTGCAGCAGGTGTCCCATTTTTGTGCTTTTCGGGGGAGTTTTTGTTTTCTGATACTATCTGACATGTTTTTGTTGGACTGTTTGTTTTTGGTCTCGTTACAGTTTGTTTGATGATTTTGTGTTACGATCTAACATCTTATCAGCTGTGCTCTGTATTATTCTGGTGGTTTTCGCCACCTCATCTCTCGGGTTGTGTGTGCTGTTGAATTTTCTGTGGTGGAGGTGATTTTGCAGTCGTTTCTGAAACTTCAGCATTTCTTTCATCTCGTTTCGGTGGCTTCAGGGAGGCAGAAACCGAATGCAGGGCTTTAAGTGTATTTTCAAGCGATGGCGTCTTCCCTCAGAGACTTTTCAAGGTTCTACATGAAGCACGAGCTCGACTTTAACCGGCACTGGGATGAAACAGCTGCTTCTCTTTACATCATTACAATCCTTTTTATTTGTCTTACCTCAGTGTGGTCACTTTAATGATTTTGCACATGCTCTTACTTCTCATTGCAGCATTTCTGCTTTTATTTTGGTCTGGTTCCGTTTCTTTCTGTTTTGACTGACTTGAGCTTTTTTCTGGGACAGTTACAGGTGTACACCTGGGTCTTTACCTGCCCTCAGTGTCCATATCACAGCGAAGGAGACCAAAGAAAACATTTACTTCCAGACACGACACCATTTTCATTCTGCAGCTTGAGCTCCATCCATTGCTGAGCTTCTCTGGAGCGCCCCCTGTGGGACAGGAAGTTCAGTTGTCTCTGCCCTCACGTGCAAATGTCACCTGACATGGCTGTGGCCAACATGCTGTTCAAAACCGACGCTCGTCTTTTATTTACAGTCTGTGTCTTTATCAGACTCTGAATGGGGAGAATACGCCCAGTTCACAAATCCCAACGACAAACTAGTTGTTCTGGAAGTTTCTTTCTTCGTTAATGAAGCAGAGCGTGTTTGTGGAGAATCTCAGACTGCAGCAGGACTTCCTCTAATTACACTCGCTGTAATTTCATTTGCCCTCGTCGTGTTCAGTGATTAGTAACAAGCAGATTATTAAATCACTTCTTTAATTCAGTCATTATGTTCTTCTCTTTCACAGAGCACAGAGACATTCTCACAGACACCATTTAACGTCCTTCTCTTTGAGTCTGAAGGTGCTGAAAGAAGCTGGAAATGAAGTGACAGAAAATGAGGAGGTGACAATATGAGGAGCACAAAGGCGGCTCGGCCTTTCACAGAGATATTCACAAAGTTAACCCTCTGATGCATAGTGGTCACTGGAGTGGACAGCTACTAAAACGTACATATCTCTTTAATGCATTGGTTTCTATGGTGGAACTGCATATTAGCCTCTAGAGTGCTCTCTGCTGCCATGCTCCATTAAGGTCAATTCAGTGTTCAGTTAGTGCAACTGCAAGTAAATTTCCTCTGAATCAAAGATGGCAGACAAACTGTCATCCCTGCCGACTGCTGGCATATCCTGTCAATCCTTCTATGCTAGAAGAGCCCAACAGGTAAAAAAAATATGATGATATGCAGTAACATCGAGGGAAAGATGTTATCTGTTCGGAATAAGAAAATGTTTATGTCTAATATGTAAAAAACTACGATTAACCATGTGTCCAATGAAGTGGACGTCAAGCATACCCACTATATAAGTCATAAATTGCTTCATTGTTTTGGTTATAAGTGTATATCTGTTACATTTATAAGCTACTCATTTAAAATATATATTTCTGTGCAGATCAGCTGTAGTTTGAGTTACTATAATAATTATTTTATCATATTTTGTAGACTTCAAATGCAGCAAAGAATAAGGCAGCGTACAGAACAGTCCAGGAAACTCCATCCAGCTCCAGTGATGATGATTTCAGTGATGAGTGCAGTGATGAGGAGTGGCTGCCAGAGCAGAACAGAGACATACGAGCTATGGATGATGAAGACAGCGTTACGTTATAATATTATTTTATGCCATGTTAGACCCCTAATTAAAGGTTGTGAATTATTATGTAGTTTTAGTTTGCATTATTCTCCTGAA